AAAAGTCTCTACACATTGAAATTCAATTGTGGTAATATAATATATAGCGGTGAGTGAGTATCGTTTTACGCCGCTTTTAGCAATATTCCAGCAATATCACGGCGGGGGACACCAGAAATGGGCTTCACACATTGTACCCATGTCGGGAATCGAACCCGGGTCTTCGGCGTGACGAGCGAACGCTTTAACCACTAGGCTACCCCGAGCGCCCCTTATATAGAGGTGATTACACAAGTGATAACGTTGACAAAAAATATGTTTGTGTCTGGAGTTGACATGGCCTTGTTTTATCTGCAAATGTACATAACAGACATGATAGAAAACATATCGTATTTAGTTCAACACTATCAGTAAATGCACTACAGTGTCGCCAGATTGTCTGGTCCACCACTTGTCTAGGCAAGTCACGATTGTTTACAGGAATGCTGTGCGGCGTTAGGCAACACACAAACACTTATTGTTGTGTGCATATTGTGTTGGTGACGGGTCATACCAGTTGGGCAAGACATGATTACCCCTTTCGCGAACACCTGGTGTCATATAGGACTTTCAATAATTCATTCATATAATTTCCCTAGATCGTGATAACAATGATAACATACCTCGACTGATAACCCTTGTCCGGAATATGAGGCTGTGAGGGTGAACATATAGAACGGCCATGGCGAGATCTATTTATACCTGACTGTCATTATCACAAACATATACCTAATATTCCACATAATAAAAGAAAGGTAAATTAAAAGATATGTCTTTAGTCATATGATCCTATGTACATATCACGGATAATTGCTGTTTGGCTGTCATGGCCTGGGTATTAGTGCATCACTGCAACTGGATATCGTTCCCGTGGGGGATCCGGGTTAGAATAGTGAGTGAGTAAGTGAGTGAGTATGGTTTTACGCCGCCTTTATATTCCAGCAATAACACGGCGGGGGAAACCAGAAAAGGGCTTCACACATTGTACCCATGTCGGGAATCGAACCCGGGTATTCGGCGTGACAAGCGAACGCTTTAACCACTAGGCTACCCGACCGCTCCGGGTTAGAATAGGTCCTCAGTAACCTTTGCTTGTCGTGATAGGTGACCCGACTGTGTGTCATCGTAATGAAAGCGACAAAACCAATGTCATAATCATAAGAATTCTTTGCCAAAAGAAAAGTCAATTGTACGATTCGGAGAATATCATAAGCATGTGTTTATGGATGACTGTCAAAGAGTGATGATACCTGGTGTTCGAGAACACCCCTTCGAGCGTTGCTCATAATATCAATCACTGGATCACATGGCCCAGATAAACTACAGGCCGCCTTCACGTTTGTGGAATATAAGCGAGTGTGGCGTTAAACAACAAACGAAACATTGGATATCTATACCACCCTGTGATATGTTGTTTTACGTTTAAAGATTTGAATCATCCTGAGTGAGTGAGTGAGTGAGTGAATTTGGTTTTACGCCGCTTTTAGCAATATTCCAGCAATATCACGGCGGGGGATACCAGAAAAGGGCTTCACACATTGTACCCATGTCGGTAAATGATCCCGTTAAAAATTGTGACATTACTAGGTGGTATAACCTCTATTGTAGAGGACACGAGCCTTGACAGCTGGGCTGAATTCATATCTTCTGTATCACGAGACATAAGCTCCTGGAACCTGCGATCAATGATCCATCTGTAGACGTAGATCTCATGCCAGGATCAAGACATGTAAATATTCAGTATTGTCAATTTCTCTGCATAATGTTCTTGTAAATATGTTGTGCAAACGTGATTCCAAATGTATATCACTCTCCGAAATTAATGGAGGAAATATAGATGATTAATTAATTCATTCATTCACTGTGCAATTCATCTGCTGTTGGAGATGTATCTTTTTAGGTGTGAAATTCCTCTCCAACAACGACTTCTTTATATCCCAAAGAATTGTTGAATCTGACCAAATATGTGTTAACTACGTAAAACGTTATCACCTAAAATATATCCACTTCGAAACATCTGTCCAGATTTATTGTACATATAAAAATAACGTTACGTTATTATCTGGATCTTTATTGAAAACGACACGTGAAGATCAGGGGTAGAATAGGTCTTATGCAACCAATGCTTGCAGTAAAAAGCGACTATGCTTGTCGTAAAAGGCGACTGGCGGGATTGGATGGTCAGACTCGCTGACTTGGTCGATGCATGTCATCGTATCCCATTTGCGTGGATCGATGCTCATGATGTCAAACACTGGATTGTCTGGTCCAGACTCGATTATTTACAGACCGCCGTCATATAGCTGGAATATTGCTGAGTGCGGCGTAAAACAACAAACCAACCTACTTTATTGAATACATACATGAGTCACTGTAGTAGGTCCATGAGAGAAGGCTTTGTGTATTTGTAACAATGTATTCTCTCCAAGTAGATACATGCTCATGTCAGCTCGTATTGTATCAACAATCTATACATTAATACACTGGGTCCATACAGGCAACTCATATGTACATATCAGGAAGGTATTGGTTATAAGGGCAGCTCGTATGTACATATGAGGAAGGTATTGGTTATAAGGGCAGCTCGTATGTACATCCTTTAAAATAAAATCTGCTCATGTGCAGGTCCATGAAGGTATTGGCTATAAATCATATTATATATACATCAAAGACGGTATTGGCTATAAGGGCAGCTCACGTGTACAACAATAAAGGTATTGGCTATAAATCAGCTCATATACACAACAATGACGTATTGGCTATAAATCAGCTGAAATACACAACAATGACGTATTGGCTATACATCAGCTCATATACACAAAAATGAAGTACTGGCTATACATCAGCTCATATACACAATGAAGGTTTGGCTTTAAATCAGCTCATATACACAACAATGACGTATTGGCTATACATCAGCTCATATACACAACAATGACGTATTGGCTATAAATCAGCTCATATACACAACAATGACGTATTGGCTATACATCAACTCATATACACAACAATGACGTATTGGCTATACATCAGCTCATATACACAACAATGACGTATTGGCTATACATCAGCTCATATACACAACAATGACGTATTGGCTATACATCAGCTCATATACACAACAATGACGTAATGGCTATACATCAGCTCATATACACAACAAGAAAGGGATTGGCTATACATCAGCTCATATACACAACAATGACGTATTGGCTATACATCAACTCATATACACAACAATGACGTATTGGCTATACATCAGCTCATATACACAACAATGACGTATTGGCTATACATCAGCTCATATACACAACAATGACGTATTGGCTATACATCAGCTCATAAACACAACAATGACGTAATGGCTATACATCAGCTCATATACACAACAATAAAGGGATTGGCTATACATCAGCTCATATACACAACAATGAAGGGATTGGCTATACATCAGCTCATACATAAACCAATAACCGTATTGGCCATTAATCAGATAATATACACAGCAATGAAGGTTTTACACCGCGCTTAGCTATATTCCAGCAATATCACAGCAGGGGACACCAGAAATGGGCTTTACACAGTGTAGCTATGTGGGGAATCGAACCCGGAGCAAAGGCTTTCACTACTAGGCTACCCCTCCTCCCTCTATCTGTCATCGTATGACCGAGTAACTATGGCAATATGAAAGAATCAGTTGCGTTTTAACTTCCCTTGAGTATATATATCATTGCTAATTTCTCTTCATTTGGTGATAGGGGCGGTCGGGTAGCCTAGTGGTTAAAGCGTTCGCTCGTCACGCCGAAGACCCGGGTTCGAATCCAGACATGAGTACAATGAGTGAGGCCCATTTCTGGTGTCCCCCGCCGTGATATTGCTGGAATATTGCTAAAAGCGGCGTAAAACCAAACTCACTCACTCATTCATTTGGTGATATTTGTTCTATGTATAAGATAATATTCAACCATCATCATCTTTTAGGTCACACAACTTCACGTGCCTATCTTTAGTTTATTTACGGTTTTTTGGGGGGGTACATAAATCACATACGTTATTTTTTTATTTTCTTTTGGAAAAGTCATAAATTCACTTTATTTCGGTAAATGTATGCCAACGGCCTGTGTTTCATTCGATTACATGACGTGTAGAATACATACAACATATTTATAAAAAAAAGAGTTGACAAGAGAGAATATGTATGACATTATATCCCTAGAATAGTTTTACGTTGGAGCATAGCATGATAAAGGTACACAGCTATATTTTGAATACAAGTACCGCCTCTTGTGGCCATTAGAAGATAACATTTATCTTATTAGGATGAAGGCTATAAGTTTCTTGTATATATTCTGTACGTAGCTGTTTGTACGCAGAGCAAACTAATAGGAAGTGATATTCATCCTCAATGTATCCATAATTACAACATTTACATAATCAACCACTTTGTGGTATATAAACATATCTACCAGTTTCAACAGGCACTATGTGAAAAACATCGAAATTGTGCTCGGGTCACTTTGAATTTCTTGACAGATATACAATTGAGGTCAGCTCTCTTTCAAAAAGTAACTTTAAACAATAAATATGATGATGTGTTGGTATCGTTTTGGAGCATGCTATGCCAATCCTGTTCAGGTATCTTTTAGGCATGACATGAATTCAGATAAGAAAGATTGTGGATGGTGAATATACTACTGTTCCTCATATACAGGACATATTTACATTTCGAAACCCAGTTGTGTTTACCTTTATTAGATACCTGTAACATTTGGTACGGGAGTCAGGCATTGAATACAGCCAGTAACTAATACATCTTTTTTTCTCTTTTTATTTATTCAGTTAGGTGTAGGTTACATACCTATACAGCAGTCAGCAAACTTAAGTTGGCTACAGGTGTCCAACAATGTTTGCAAATGGTGAAACGGGCAGGCTACATTTGCCATGTTTATTAACTAGGTGTGAAGCTAAATCCTTACAGTACATTAGTGGAAATTGTTCATGTTAAAAAAATATTTAAAAAATAGAGACATATTAACCAGACAATTCATTTGCCAATTTTTTCCATTTTCTGTCAAACTGTCTTATTGTATTGTTTTTGTGTGCAAATACGTTATTGTTTAGATGGATTTATAGCCGCATCTCTTAAAAAGTGAACTAGAAACGTAAAATTTAAAAAAAAGTAGGAAATATATATCCACCGCGATATTCCTACAATGTCACAATGTGGTACACTTGGCGCATGCGCTCACACATCAGATACGAGTATCTTCTTGACAATGTCTGTCAACTGAGGTCGGGACACCTGTAGATAAACAAGATACTATTACACCGAATAAAAATGTCTGAATATAGAACAAGGTGAGGTGACATTGAGTTGAACGTTGCGTCCAAGATTATTGCACTTATATAGCGACGTGCTTGTACGTGTGTGTATGTCCGGACTGATGCCGATTTATAGTGCTAGGAGTGAGTGAGTGAATATTGCTTAACGCCGCACCAGCAATTTTGCAGCTATTCGCGGCGAACATATAGTGCTAGGACACTGAGATACCATGCCGCAGTTTAACATGAATACCCCACTTTGACACAGTATACTGACTCCGAGCCGACCAGTCCTTGTTTTAGCCCCTTAATGTCGAGCGCCAGACAGGGTAACAACAAGTACCATCTTTTAACGTCTTTTGGTATGACGCGGCCGGGGATCGAACACCGGACCTTCCGCTCACCGGGCGGACGCTCTACCACTAGACCACTAGGCGGTCGAATATACAACAACAAATGGTTTCCATTTCAAATTGGGGATCGAACATCAAATGGTTTACATTTCAAATTGGGGCGGTCGGGTAGCCTAGTGGTTAAAGCGTCCGCTCGTCACGCCGAAGACCCGGGTTCGATTCCCGACATGGGTACAATGTGTGAAGCCCATTTCTGGTGACCTCCGCCGTGATATTGCTGGAATATTGCTAAAAGCGGCATAAAATCATACTCACTCACATTTCAAATTGAGGATAGAACCCCGAACCCCGGACCTTCCGCTCACCGGGCGGACGCTCTACCACTAGACCACGGAGGCGGTCGAATATACAACAAATGGTTTACATTTCAAATTACATTTGAAGCCAAGCCAACAATTGAATTCGGATGATACCAACATGGAATGGTCCAGCGATCTAATGTGTCGCAATATAATACGTCCCCAGTTGCAAGTACCCATTGGTTCGTATCAGTGCCCTAAGTCAGTTTTGCTAGTTCTCCACACGGGCGTTTAGTGTGAGCATGTATTTGCGTGTGTGTGGCAACGTGTCTACTACCTATATTCTAGGAAGGTTGTTTTTCACCTTAAGGGAATAAGTATACACCATTAACAGCCATCGATGCCACAGTGTTCTTTGCATTCATTCAAATCTTGAAATACCCCACTTACAAAGAGTCACATTTAAGTACAGTAAACTACGGTTATAACGAACTCAAATGGACCACTAATTTTAGTTCGTTATAACCGTAGTTCGTTATAAGCATATATACAACACCTATACAGCAAATGGCCGGGACCAAAAATTAAGTTCGTAATATCCGTCAGTTCGTTATAAGCGTTTTCGTTATAAACGTATTTTACTGTATCTGTCTATGGGATATTATTTTTGTCCCGTTGCTGTTATAATAACCTATCTGTCATAGTTTGGGGTTTCCATCTACTAAGACTCATTAATCACTTTTGGTGTCCTTTGAAATAGATAGTGAACGAATGATAACATGTCGTGATTGATAGCTCTTCGGTTCATGCAGGTGGATATGTAGAACGACCAGGGTGAGATATGTGTAACTCTTTGACATATATTCATAATCACAATAGCATATCAGCAACTTGTAACACGGAACGTAATGCATTCTGGCCATAGTCGTTAGGTTATTATCAGCATGCATTCTGAATGAAAGCGACAAAGCCCTTTATATATTGATATTCATAAGAAATCTCTGTCACACCAGTTTCGGATAAATTAAATGAATAAATACATAGTATTACCTTCTTTCGTGCTCCAACTTTTGGAAACTCATCTAAGAATAGAACACGGTCTGGTCGGTCCCTTTCAAGCAGCTTGAAAAAAACATTGCAAAAAGGGGGGTGAGTTGTGTCTACGACCGCCGTATTAATGGATCAATGATGAGCGAGTGTTATGGTTTTACGCCGCTTTTAGCATTATTCCAGCAATATCACGGCGGGGGACACCAGAAATGGGCTTCAAACATTGTACCCATGTCGGGAATCGAACCAGGGTCTTCGGCGTGACAAGCGAACGCTTTAACCACTCGGCTACCCGACCGCCCCGGGATCAGTGATGACACCAGGTGTTCGCCAAAATGGTAAGCATGTCCTGCTCCAGCCGTACCCATCACTCACACAAGAAAGACTTTTTATTTTATTTTGCCAAACGCCTCATATCAGTATTTCCATACGACGACTTCTTGTAAACAATCGAGTCTTGACCAGACAATCAAGTGATAATGAGGGACACGATAGCGTGTTGCTGATTATGTGGAAACCAAAAACGTTGTATTTACTTTTTGCGGAAACTAAAAACATTAAATCTTTTTTTTGCGGAAACTAAAAACATTATATTTATTTTTTGCTGAAACTAAAAACGTTATATTTTATGTTTTGCGGAAACTAAAAGCGTTATATTTATTTTGAGCTACGTTTGCAGTGTACGAATGCAGATATTTTGGTGATTACCAGTAAAGAGAAACACTTGAGATACATGACGCTCTAAACAGTCATTTGTAGGTTGAATTCCTTCCATCGAGTGTACTTGTGGCAAGAACGTATATAGTGTTTATGACAATGTTATTCCAATTACAGTAATAATCAACATTCACCGTTGAATCGATCACAAACTGACAACAAATAAAGTGACAAGTTCGTAAAGAAGACAAATTACATCAACACTACATACACAGTAAGGAAAACGTTTCAGGAAATGTTTTCTAAGAGCAAGTATTTGACACAAGCTGGTTTTTAGGTAACAGCAGGGCCATATGGTAGGCAATTCATTTTGGGTCGAGGAGTTGCTCATACTCACATAACCCGTGAAGATCCGGGTTAGAATAGGTCTTCAGCAACTAATGCATGTCGTAAGAGGTAACTATGCTTGTCGTAAGAGGCGACTAACGGGATCGGGTGGTCAGGCTCGCTGACTTGGTTGATGCATGTCATCGTATCCCAATTGCGTGGATCGATGCTCATGATATCAATCACTGGGTTGTCTGGTCCAGACTCGATTATTTACAGACGGCCGTCATATAGCTGGAATATTTGTTAAATATTCAAATTTGACATTTAAAAATGATCCTTATCCTATCTCGCCCGATGACAATCTGCTTGAACTACCTCAAGTGAATATTCAGGTATCCTTGACAATAATGCTCTGTACATAGACCATTCATTCCCTACAGAAAGATTACCTGTTGATAGTCAATCCTAATTATTTTAGCATCCCCTCACCTTAGTGAGCAGAAATGTCGTTATGTCCTCGCTCTTGGCTACAGCACCCTCGCGTAATCTGAAACACATGTGAATATAATAACTTGGACGGACAGGATTAGGCCACTGGCTCATAATACTGTCATGTATCATCATCATCATCGTCACCATCATCATCGTCATCATCATCATCATCATCATCATTACCACCACCACCATCATCATCACCATCATCATCATCATCGTTGTTGTTTTTAACTCTCAAAGTATGAACAAAATATCACAGTTCCTAAGTTGTTAACATTGCGTGAATAGAAACTTACATTGTGAATAATGTAACAATGTTTCCGACTGGATTATTTTTGTAAATGTATAGAGTGCATAGGGGTATCTATGCAGTTGCATAGAAATGTTGCATAAAATGTTTAATGTGATAGGCCAATGTGCTAGGAACACGTTCATTCACAGATTTGAGCATTAAATGTAGGATTTAACCGGGCGGTCCTATAAAGACACGTAGCTCTTGCATGCCTGTAGGATTAAAAAATAAAATATTTAATGAGGCGCCTCTGAACATGAACAATCATTTATGACGACAGTTTCATATCGTTACCAATAATTCTGGATGCCTACATTAAGCCTTTGTTTGTTTGTTGTTAACGCCGCACTCAGCAGTATTCTAGCTATATGACGGCGGTTTGTAAATAATCGAGTCTGGACCAGACTATACAGTGATTGACATCATGAGCATCGATCCAAGAAAATGGGATACGATGACATGCATCAACCAAGTCAGCGAGTCTGACCACCCGATCCCGTTAGTCGCCTTTTACGACAAGCAGAGTCGCTTTTTACGGCAAGCATGGCATTCTACCCCGGATCTTCACGGGTCTTTAATAAAGATACACATACGCATATTTCAGTACTTACATGACGCAAGCAACAATGGCAACACCAAATTTGTCGTCGCTCACACCCACGACCTGGAACATTAGAATAGCGAGACATGCAGGTGAACAAAACTTGGAAGCATGGTGTGCTCGTGGGTTTCACCGAAGTGGTAAACGTCTGAGACCTGCATCACATCGGGCTTTCCTCCCACCATTAAGCTGGCACGCCGTGATATAATTGGAATACTTTTAAAAGCGGCGTTAAACCCAACTCACTCACTCACACTATTTATATGAGACATAAAACCTCACTGATGAACAGGTGAGGTGAGGTGAGGTGAGGTGAGGTGAGGTGAGGTGAGGTGAAATTGGGTTTAACGTCGCGTCCAAGATTATTGCACTTATATAGCGACGTGCATGTACGTGTGTGTGTATGTGTGGCTGCTTGTACTAGTCCGGACTGATGCCGATTTATAGTGCTAGCTCACTGAGATACCATGCCGCAGTTTAACATGAATACCCCACTCAGACACAGTATACTGACTCCGAGCCGACCAGTCCTTGTTTTAGCCCCTTAATGCCGAGCGCCAGACAGGGTAACAACAAGTACCATCTTTTAACGTCTTTTGGTATGACGCGGCCAGTGAAGTCAGTGATACTGAACTAGACTGCCCGCGATCTAAATCTAGACTACAAATGATCTCGGTCTGTGACGTATTTGCGCATGTCAGTTGTACCTTCACGTCTCGAACTTTCCCGTGTTGTCTCACTGCAGCTTCAACAACTTCCGGGTAGACGACATCGCCCTTCTTTTTGTAGCGGATGCAGTCTGACTTACGACCCAATACTTCCACGTGACCAGTGGAATCCATGCTTCCAATATCACTGCGCGAAACAAGAAAATAGTCCTGTATCTACAACATCCTATGTTAGCCTGCTTTCGTATTTGGTAAACAGATCAGCTCAGCTGCTGCTTTCTCCAATCCTCTGAAATAATTATTGTTCTAAATATCTATACGCTACAAAAAAGGTATTAAATACAAACGAATTACCCAGAATGGAACCAGTTCCGCGCGTCAAGGACCTTCTGTGTATTGGCGGAACTGGTATGATATCCATTGAACCGTGGCCAGCCCCGGAAACACAGCTCCCCAATACTGTTGACCGTTAGGATGTCACCCTCATCATTTATCACCTTGATCTAAAAACAAAATTGAATAAAATCATATGAATCCAAGAAGGCTAATGTTATCAATATGGATGAGCGAGATTATGTACTTCATAGGAGGTAGGTGTGTAATACTGCGTTCGGAGGATTGTTATTTTTGATCCGGGCACTTCAATATCTAATGGATTGTTTTGTGATCGGGTATGGTTTTACGGCGCTTTTAGCAATATTCCAGCAATATCACGACAGGGGACACCAGAAATTGGCTCCACACATTGTACCCATGTGGGAATCGAACCCGGGCCTTCGGCGTGACGATCGAACGCTTTAACCACTAGGCTACCCCACCGCCCCAAATGTCTGATGGCGTCAAAGAATATGATGGAATCATTTCATTTATTTGATTTTCTTCAAACTTCTCGACACAGTTCTCTTGTCACCTGATCGCTAAATACCAGGAGTACAAAGTCCTTCCAGTCATTACTATCAACTTGATGTTTGCCAAAAATGTATGAGAATATGTCTATATTTCGGTCGCTGTCGCTCTGGAGTGCAAATATCCTGATACTCAGTATGCCAAATACTGGAATGTTATTACAGTAAACTACGGTTATAACGAACTCAAATGGACCACTAATTTTAGTTCGTTATAACCGTAGTTCGTTATAAGCATATATACAGCTTTACTACAGCAAATTCTAGCGACAAGAATATGTTCGTTATATCCGTCAGTTCGTTATAAGCGTGTTCGTTATAAACGTAGTTTACTGTACATCAATGTGATAAGCTCGATGTTGTTCTTCAAAGAAACTAAATTTACTTCAAGACATGACGATAGAAGGAGTTAAAATTAGACACCCCCATGACAATGGCTAAAAGAAATCGGTAAACGTGCTATAGTTTCGCTAGGTGGCCTGTCCACTGTCACTGGTTTGTGTGATCAAGACTTGATTGCATGCAGACCGCCGTTGCACGGCAGGTGTAGCGTTTGGCAACAGGTGGTGCGGGTTTAAAGTCGCCTCCAATACTTATATAGCGACGTGCATGCGCGCGTGTATGTACTTGTATTAGTCCGGACTGATGCCGATTTATAGTGCTGGCCCACGGAGATACCATGCCGCAGTTTAACATGAATACCCCACTCAGACGCAGTATACTGACTCCGAGCCGACCAGTCCTTGTTTTAGCCCCACAATGCCGAGCTCCAGACAGGGAAACAACAAGTACCATCTTTTAACGTCTTTTGGTATGACGCGGCCGGGGATTGAACCCCGGACCTTCCGCTCTCCGGGCGGACCACTAGACCACGGAGGCGGTCACACCGATGAACAGAGTGAACAGGGTCATCATGGTGATTGATGAACACAGTTCGTACCTAACATTGATATGATTGTTGAACAAAGTCTTTTTTATGATTTTATTTCTTTTTGGAAGACACACACAATAGGTTTACAGAATATAGTTCACATGCAGTCTTAAATACATACAAGTTACAAAGTATATTTTAACGTCTTTTGGAATGACGCGGTCGGGGATCGAACCTCGGACCTTTCGCTCTACCACTAGACCACGGAGACGGTCGGCAAGAAACATTATATGTACCTCAACATGCGGCATAGCATATCCCGCCGACGAGATGAACTGCTCCCTTGTCGTCATGTCAGGAGACGTGGTCATGGCCGTCAGGAACTCAGTTGCCCCGAAACCTACCTGGACAAAGTAAGAAAAGGTACAACTTGGATACCAACTTCTGGTTTATAGCGGCGTTTCGATGTAGATTCTTACACCGTTGTCAAGCTAGAGTGAGGTGAGGTGAGGTGAAATTTGGTTTAACGTCGCGTCCAAGATTATTGCACTTGTATAGCGAGGTGCATGCACGTGTTTGTGTGGCTGCTTGTACTAGTCCGGGCTGATGCCGATTTATAGTGCTAGCTCACTGAGATACCATGCCGCAGTTTAACATGAATACCCCACTCAGACACAGTACACTGCCTCCGAGCCGACCAGTCCTTGTTTTAGCCCCTCCGCTCTCCCGGCGGACGGTCTACCATTAGACCACGGAGGCGGTCCCAAGCTGGAGTGACAACAACCAAGTGATGAGAGGTAAAGATGCAGTACATGTTGTGGTGAGCAGATTAACAACAACGGTAAGAGATAACAAGTTGTTTGTTGTTTAACGCCGCACTCAGCAATATTCCAGCTATATGACGGCGGTCTGTAAATAATCGAGCCTGGACCCAACAATCCAGTGATTGACATCATGAGCATCAGTCTACGCAATTGGGACACGATGACATGCATCAACCAAGTCAGCAAGCCTGACCACCCGATCCTGTTAGTCGCCTCTTACGACAAACAAAGTCGTCTTTTACGGCAAGTATGGGTTGCTGAAGATCTATTCTACCCCGGATCTTCACGGGTCAATCGTATTTGTGAGTAAGGAAGCCCAACCTACCACAAAATCGGAATATTCCTCAGCTATTTTCCGTCGAACTTCTTTGCTCACAGCCTGGGTAACAAGTAAACCTATAATCAAAAATGTTCATCGTGGTACAAATATGAACGTATGAAGTATAATGTTTTGTTCAAACAGTACAGCGTTAAGGAAGATTTGAAACTTTTATATGTAACAACTTTAGTTTTTGTTATGATGTATCAGGGCTTTGTCTTGCCCATTCATCAGGTGAATATCGAGTAAGTGTAATGAGGTGAGATGGGGACTGAGACCGAGCCGACCAGTCCTTGTTTCAGCCCCTTAATGCCGAGCGGAGGCTCTACCACTAGACCACGGAGGCGGTCAGTAAGTGTAATGAGTTCATATATATATAAGCTGATATGCATCCATGTTGATGGGGAGGCAAGAAGTAGCTCTGAGACGCCACTATAAACTATAAAGAAGTTGATATCCATAAAGGTTTCATGTCCTCGTGGATTTCATACATCTAAATTCCTATTAAAGACGAGTACAGCATTATACAGATATTAAAAGGACAATCTTCTGAAGAAAACTGGTCAGTGATCAATATTCTATCTTATAAAAACATTGTGAAAAACATTTGATAACAATGACAATGACAGGAAGTGGTGTTACCGGATCTGAGCGACGACAGATTGTATCTGGAAGTTGTATCTTGTTCCATGAACCCAACAACCCAAAAAGGCAGCATAGATATCGTCGTGATCCTAAACCCATTGTCAAATGTAAACACATGTCCGTTGGTCAGTCAATACGCGGTGCCATAATTTGGCAAGGAGATCAAAAACGGGTTATGATTTAAATACTTAAAGTATTTTTGAAATAATGTTGGAAATATGTTTACTAAATAATACCAACCAGAATGTGTGAATACCAATAGGTGGCCTGGATAGAGAGTATTCCTACCTACTGATGGCACTGACGTGTGGAAACCAATAGGTGGCCTGGATGGAGAGTATTCCTACATACTGATGGCACTGACGTGTGGATACCAATAGGTGGCCTGGATGGAGAGTATTCCTACCTACTGATGGCACTGACGTGTGGATACCAATAGGCGGCCTGGATAGAGAGTATTCCTACCTACTGATGGCACTGACATGTGGATACCAATAGGTGGCCTGGATAGAGAGTATTCCTACCTACTGATGGCACTGACATGTGGATACCAATAGGTGGCCTGGATGGAGAGTATTCCTACCTACTGATGGCACTGACGTGTGGATACCAATAGGTGGCCTGGATGGAGAGTATTCCTACCTACTGATGGCACTGACGTGTGGATACCAATAGTGGCCTGGATGGAAGGTATTCCTACATACTGATGGAGCTGACGTGTGGATACCAATATGTGACCTGGATGGAGAGTATTCCTACATACTGATGGAGCTGACGTGTGGATACCAATAGGTGGCCTGGATGGAGAGTATTCCTACCTATTGATGGCACTGACGTGTGGATACCAATAGGTGGCCTGGATGGAGAGTATTCCTACCTACTGATGGCACTGACGTGTGGATACCAATGGGTGGCCTGGATGGAGAGTATTCCTACCTACTGATGGCACTGACGTGTGGATACCAATGGGTGGCCTGGATGGAGAGTATTCCTACATACTGATGGCACTGACGTGTGGATACCAATATGTGACCTGGATGGAGAGTATTCCTACCTACTGATGGCACTGACGTGTGGATACCAATAGGTTGCCTGGATGGAGAGTATTCCTACATACTGATGGCACTGACGTGTGCATACAAATATGTGACCTGGATGGAGAGTATTCCTACCTACTGATGGCACTGACGTGTGCATACATATATGCGACCTGGATGGAGAGTATTCCTACATATTGATGGAGCTCACCAGTACGTGTGGATACGAATGGCAGACCTATATTTCACAACATTATTTTACATAACTCGTTGAACGTAGAATTCAATGTTTTCTCGAAAATCAAATTGTCTGTTTTGGGCACGGAACACATATTCATTCCCATGAAGCAAACTACATACTTATGCGATGGTGCTGTAATGTTTAGCCACGTCATCAACATCTTGGAAAATTCTGATATTCCACAATTATACAAACAATCTTCAGTGAGTGAGTGAGTATGGTTTTACGCCGCTTTTAGCAATATTCCAGCAATATCACGGCGGGGGTCACCACAAATGGGCTTCACACGTTGTACCCATGTCGGGAATCGAGACCGGGTCGTCGGCGTGACGAGCGAACGCTTTAACCACTAGGCTACTTGACCGCCCCAACAATCTTAAGATGTTTTAACCTCTATATACACATGTGTAATTACTGTTATGAGAATAATCCACGATTGTACAGGACAAATCTTAAAAGATTGTACCAAACAGTGTTATTGTATAATACGTATGTGAAAATGAATATACACACTTCTCTCTTTCAATGATCTCTGTGAGTGTCTGCACACTTTCCGCTGTGTAGTCGAGAGTACTCGGCAGCATGAGGCCCACGTGATCCAACCTCCAGTGATACAAAATAGCCAGAGCCTGGGTGACAGGCATGATGTCATCGTTGTTAGTGTTAAGCCACGCTTCGACTTGCGGCTGGAACACAGCAGAGGAACAGGCCCGAGGTTAAATATTCCCTGCTAATACCACATACTATAACAACAGCACTCAAACATAGTCAGACCCGTGAAGATCCGGGTTAGAATAGGTCTTCAGCAACCCATGCTTGTCGTATGAGGCGACTAAAGGGTTAGAATATGTCTTCAGCAACCCATGCTTGTCGTATGAGGCGACTAAAGGGTTAGAATATGTCTTCAGCAACCCATGCTTGTCGTATAAGGCGACTAAAGGGTTAGAATATGTCTTCAGCAACCCGTGCTTGTCGTAAGAGACTACTAACGGGTTAGAAAAAAGTCTTCAGCAACCCAGGCTTGTCGTAAGAAAGGGCTAACGGGTTAGAAAAAGTCTTCAGCAACCCATGCTTGTCGCAAGATACGACTAATGGGTTATTATAGGTCTTCAGCGACCCATACAGAGGCGACTAACGGGATCAGGTTGTCCGGCCGACTTGGTTGATGCATGTCATCGTAACCCAATTGGGTCGATGCTCATAATATAAATCACAGGATTGTCTGGTACAGACTCGATTATTTACAGACCGCGCCGTCACATTGCGGGAATATTGCGAAGGTGGCGTGAAATAACAAACAAACAAACAAATTTCAGTAAAAATAATATTCAATAAAAACCTTCTTCTGGGGATTCTTTCTGATGACAGAAAATTTGGCAAAGTTCACCAATGCATGATGCCCCACATATATCAGTTTCGGTTGTCCTGTTGTTCCCTAAAACATATAAGCATCTCTGTACCTCACTTCTGAAGGTAGCGATTTTGCGAAGAAATAAATATTGCTTTAGACGAATGGCGGTATACCTTTGGAGTGAGTGAGTGACTATGGTTTTACGCCGCTTTTAGCAATATTCCAGCAATATCACGGCGTGGGACACAAGAAATACTTTTCACACATTGTGCCCATGTGGGGAATCGAAACCGGGCCTTCGGCGTGACGAGCGAACGCTTTAACCACTGGGCTACCCCACCGCCCCCTATACAGTTGGCGGTACAGACAAAGTAATCGTCAAACAGTACTAGTGGTGTGAACAGTGATTAAGTACGTCCCGAACAGCCATGATACTACATGGGGGGGGGGGGGGTCTAAGGCGCCGCTGTGCAGAGTTGCCAGAAACCTATGATTGTGGGTTCGAATCACGGTTCGCCCCGATTATGTTTCTAGGTTTGTCAGCACCATACCCGTGCTCGTTGGTTTCAACGAAGTCTGAGACCTGCATCACTTCGGACTTTCCTCCCACATTAAGCTGACACGCCGCGATATAACTGGAATACTGTTAAAAGTGGCGTTAAACCCAACTCACTCACTCACTCACTACTACCTTTGGGTGAACTTGTTCTAAAATGATCCTAGATCGAGTTTCAACTGGTCCCAACCAGATCGCGATCGGACAAGAGCGGCTGTCTATTTGTGCCGGTTTGGTCAGGACCATCTTCATGAGGCAAGGGTCCAGTTTCCACCCTTGCCAAACTAGGCTGCAATTATGGAGTTATATGTTGGCTGGACTGACGAATAGTCCAAGACGACTGGGCCACCCGTGCGACCCCCCCCCCCCCCCCCCCCCCCCCCCATACTCCATTAATAACAATAGTCATAACAATTATTGGTAAACTCAGTAAAGTGAATAATTGCTATTTTAGAAGTATGCATATGAATCATATACTTGAAATTCTGAAGTCATGTACCGTACATATGAAAATATTAAGAAATATGAAATACATACAGTTGACGATAACATCCACGCATTATCGTCTTGTGAAACATGGCGTTTGGAAGACTGTAGTTGTTCTTCTGACACAGCCTCTCCATTCTTTAAGAACTCCTTGTGGCTACAAAATGTTCCTGCCCTGCAAACATAGGTGCTGATATAAGAAATACCAGAGGTCGATTTTTGAGTAAATTATTACACTTTTTCATGTTATGGATAGTGATGTCGGTGCAATAAACTAATCCTATAAACTTGTTATCACAATTCGATAACGCTACCAAATCGTTCAGATATAGTGAGTGAGTTGTATTTAACGCCGCTTTGAACAGTTTTCCAGATCACCGCGTGTAAGTGTGGTGTGCTAGAAAAGTCCGAGGTGATGCAGGTTTCAGACGTTTACCACTTTAGTGAAACCCACGAGAACGACAGACCTTGAAACATAATCGGGGTGAACCGGAAGTCGAACCAGAGATCATAGGTTTCTGGCGAGCCCAAGGGATGCAACTCCGCAGCAAATAGCGGCATCTTTGACGACACGACCTCCGTGGCCCCCGTTGGGATAGAAGTCTCCCGATGTGTAAGTGTATACAAATTTATAAACTTGGATGGATAGACAGACAGACAGACAGACAGACAGACAGACTACAACTAGACAGCAGCGATATCTTATGATAATGGAAAGGGTTTTGTCACTTTAACTTAGACCTTTTTGTATAACATCCAAATAACACATGTAAGTAATATTATCCAAAAATATTAAAGAAAAAGAACTGGTCACGTGTACAAACAAACGCGACATCCCTTCATATTCTGATAAAGGTGGATTATAGATGAAGGTGCCATTTGCATGCTTTTTCAAATTTACAAAAACAGAGGCATGCTGTTCAATAGCAACCACGTCAAGGAACAAATAGTTTGTCCCATTCACAAATTGGAACTGTCTGTTTACTTGTTGTATTTCCCCAAAATGAGACCCGTGTACAACACTAGAAATTCCAAAGATATCAAGGATAAATGGTTAAAATCAAAATCACTCAAAAGCTATCAACCCGAGACATCCAAATCGGTATCACAAACAATTCATAATTATTTTTGGAAACAAGAAAATAATACATAATTCTGTCATTCAGACTCACATTTTGTTGGAATCGGAAGTGCCGAAAGAAACACAGTAACAATCCCCATTTCTGAAAAGAAATATAATATTTATTCATGCACGTGTTATTTGATGTCATACTTCAATTCAATGTATATATTACAATTACACACATTATTCAATCAGTATTAACCTACAATTACTCATATTATAGAAAATGTTCGGAAGACACCCTGCTTGTATAATACAGTAAACTACGTTTATAACGAACACGCTTATAACGAACTGACTGATATAACGAACTTATTTTTTAGTCCCAGCCATTTGTTGTTTATATGCTGTATATATGCTTATAACGAACTGCGGTTATAACGAACTAAAATTAGTGGTCCCTTTGAGTTCGTTATAACCGTAGTTTACTGTAGATTAGTGTATGGAGGCAGCGCACTATTCAGGAATCGTAATCGTGTGAGCGAGTCAATAGGCTTTTTAACGGCAAAACCCGAAAGGAAGCAGCTCTTAAACATTTAACACTTTGGCGAAAGACAGACAGGCATCCTGGTGACAAACCAAGTATCATAATCAGGGCGAGTCTTGATGTTCAACCCACGGTCATAGGATACTGATACGCCCAAGGGACGCAACTGCACAGAAAAACAGCAGCGGCGTCGGCCACATATGTGCCCGTCATGACGAGAAATAGATGTTGTTTATTTCGTAAGAATGTAGGCTCAGCGGGCTAGATTCACAGCATACAATGCAACTGTGCACAGTAAAATCGTGATGTAGAAAACTAATTTAAGAAATACAGAACATGGTTTGGTTATATCATACGATCATTGGCATGATAAATGTGCATAAAAAGGTTTTTAATTATCTTTATTTAGATGTTGACATTAACGAAATACATGTAAACAGTGCTGGATGAATTACGATTTTTTTTTGGAACATAACTATCTAGTAACGTATTATATTTCGGACAAATCACTATAAAATGGTATTCATCCTCCACAACATTAGTACAAATGTATTGTAATGGGAATAACATACATTTTTCACCGAGTCATGTGGGAAACTAACTAACGAGCCAAACCTTTCAAGTATGTTCCCTAGTGCTTCTTCAACAGTCGAGTGCTCATTCTTTCCGCAGATGATCAGTTTCGGTTTTATCTATCGAGAAAAGTTATACAGAAACATTATTTGAACATACTATGTCAAACTTTTGTTTAATGGTCTTAGATGTACAAACTGATGTTACATTCCACGGACTGATGCAGATGCACAATTACTGTAACAAGTTGTTATAGGTTGGAAATACGATATGGTATCTAGGAATATTATCCATCAGATAAATATTGTTCATATCATTCAAGTAAAACGCCCAAGAATAATCTCGAATATCCCCTAACATAGAGCGGAATGTCAAAGTAGTGATGACAATTATATGATTAACAATACTAAACATCTTTTTGAATACACTTCATTTGGTAAAATGTTATGTACACTGTACTTACGATTTCAACTAATCGTGTCAGGGTTACCTCTTTCGGATCAAAAAGAAAGGGCTGAAAAACAAAGAGGACAATACATTTTCCACATTTCAAATTATGATTTAGAATTACGTATATATAATCACATATGACATCAACTACTAAATGAGTAGCTTCAGAAGTAAAAGTCGAAAGGTATTAACATATTTCGTTTAAATACTATTGAAAACAGTGTTTCACTCACTCACTCACTCACTCACCCACCCACCCACCCACCCACCCACCCACTCACTCACTCACTCACTCACTCACTCACTCACTCACTCACTCACTCACTCACTCACCCATCAACCCACCCACCCACTCACTCACTCACTCACTCACTCACTCACTCACTCACTCACTCACTCGCCCGCCCACTCACTCTCACTCAACATATAGCATGGAGATATATTCATCAAAGATCATAATGACGTTGCCCCCAACTTCCCCTATACGTTATACTCCCCCCACCCCCACCCCCACCACAAACACCATTCACACGTACACCCAGCACAGTGAGATGGAGTACGATTGTGTGACCTGTTAATCTACTCACATCAACCCAGCACAGTGACATGGGACCACGATTGTGTTACCTGTTAATCTACTCACATTAACCCAGCATAGTGACATGGGACCACGATTGAGTTACCTGTTGATCTACTCACATCAACCCAGCACAGTGACATGGGACCACGATTGTGTTACCTGTTGATCTACTCACATCAACCCAGCACAGTGACATGGGACCACGATTGTGTTACCTGTTAATCTACTCACATTAACCCAGCACAGTGACATGGGACCACGATTGTGTTACCTGTTGATCTACTCACATCAACCCAGCACAGTGACATGGGACCACGATTGTGTTACCTGTTAATCTACTCACATCAACCCAGCACAGTGACATGGGACCACGATTGTGTTACCTGTTGATCTACTCACATCAACCCAGCACAGTGACATGGGACCACGATTGTGTTACCTGTTAATCTACTCACATTAACCCAGCACAGTGACATGGGACCACGATTGTGTTACCTGTTGATCTACTCACATCAACCCAGCACAGTGACATGGGACCACGATTGTGTTACCTGTTGATCTACTCACACCAACCCAGCACAGTGACATGGGACCACGATTGTGTTACCTGTTGATCTACTCACATTAACCCAGCACAGTGACATGGGACCACGATTGTGTTACCTGTTGATCTACTCACACCAACCCAGCACAGTGACATGGGACCACGATTGTGTTACCTGTTGATCTACTCACATCAACCCAGCACAGTGACATGGGACCACGATTGTGTTACCTGTTGATCTACTCACATCAACCCAGCACAAGGACATTGGACCACGATTGTGTGACCTGTTGATCTACTCACATCAACCCAGCACAAGGACATGGGACCACGATTGTGTGACCTGTTAATCTACTCACATCAACCCAGCACAAGGACATGGGACCACGATTGTGTTACCTGTTGATCTACTCACATAAACCCAGCACAGTGACATGGGACCACGATTGTGTTACCTGTTGATCTACTCACATCAACCCAGCACAGTGACATGGGACCACGATTGTGTTACCTGTTGATCTACTCACACCAACCCAGCACAGTGACATGGGACCACGATTGTGTTACCTGTTGATCTACTCGCATTAACCCAGCACAGTGACATGGGACCACGATTGTGTTACCTGTTGATCTACTCACACCAACCCAGCACAGTGACATGGGACCACGATTGTGTTACCTGTTGATCTACTCACATCAACCCAGCACAGTGACATGGGACCACGATTGTGTTACCTGTTGATCTACTCACATCAACCCAGCACAAGGACATTGGACCACGATTGTGTGACCTGTTGATCTACTCACATCAACCCAGCACAAGGACATGGGACCACGATTGTGTGACCTGTTAATCTACTCACATCAACCCAGCACAAGGACATGGGACCACGATTGTGTTACCTGTTGATCTACTCACATAAACCCAGCACAGTGACATGGGACCACGATTGTGTTACCTGTTGATCTACTCACATCAACCCAGCACAGTGACATGGGACCACGATTGTGTTACCTGTTGATCTACTCACATCAACCCAGCACAGTGGCATAGACCACGATTGTGTTACCTGTTGATCTACTCACATCAACCCAGCACAAGGACATAGGACCACGATTGTGTTACCTGTTAATCTACTCACATCAACCCAGCACAGTGGCATAGGACCACGATTGTGTTACCTGTTGATCTACTCACATCAACCCAGCACAGTGGCATAGGACCACGATTGTGTTACCTGTTGATCTACTCACATCAACCCAGGACAAGGACATAGGACCACGATTATGTTACCTGTTGATCTACTCACATCAACCCAGCACAGTGGCATAGGACCACGATTGTGTTACCTGTTGATCTACTCACATCAACCCAGCACAGTGGCATAGGACCACGATTGTGTTACCTGTTGATCTACTCACATCAACCCAGCACAGTGGCATAGGACCACGATTGTGTTACCTGTTGATCTACTCACATCAACCCAGCACAAGGACATAGGACCACGATTGTGTTACCTGTTGATCTACTCACATCAACCCAGCACAGTGGCATAGGACCACGATTGTGTTACCTGTTGATCTACTCAAATCAACCCAGCACAGTGACATGGGACCACGATTGTGTTACCTGTTGATCTACTCACATCAACCCAGCACAGTGACATAGGACCACGATTGTGTTACCTGTTGATCTACTCACATCAACCCAGCACAAGGACATAGGACCACGATTGTGTTACCTGTTGATCTACTCACATCAACCCAGCACAAGGACATAGGACCACGATTGTGTGACCTGTTGATCTACTCACATCAACCCAGCACAGTGACATAGGACCACGATTGTGTTACCTGTTGATCTACTCACATCAACCCAGCACAGTGACATGGGACCACGATTGTGTTACCTGTTGATCTACTCACATCAACCCAGCACAGTGACATGGGACCACGATTGAGTTACCTGTTGATCTACTCACATCAACCCAGCACTGTGACATGGGACCACGATTGTGTTACCTGTTGATCTACTCACATAAACCCAGCACAGTGACATGGGACCACGATTGTGTAACCTGTTAATCTACTCACATCAACCCAGCACAGTGACATGGGACCACGATTGTGTTACCTGTTGATCTACTCACATCAACCCAGCACAGTGACATGGGACCACGATTGTGTTACCTGTTAATCTACTCACATCAACCCAGCACAGTGGCATAGGACCACGATTGTGTTACCTGTTGATCTACTCACATCAACCCAGCACAGTGACATGGGACCACGATTGTGTTACCTGTTGATCTACTCACATCAACCCAGCACAGTGACATAGGACCACGATTGTGTTACCTGTTGATCTACTCACATCAACCCAGCACAAGGACATAGGACCACGATTGTGTTACCTGTTGATCTACTCACATCAACCCAGCACAGTGACATAGGACCACGATTGTGTGACCTGTTGATCTACTCACATCAACCCAGCACAGTGACATAGGACCACGATTGTGTTACCTGTTGATCTACTCACATCAACCCAGCACAGTGACATGGGACCACGATTGTGTTACCTGTTGATCTACTCACATCAACCCAGCACAAGGACATGGGACCACGATTGAGTTACCTGTTGATCTACTCACATCAACCCAGCACAGTGACATGGGACCACGATTGTGTTACCTGTTGATCTACTCACATAAACCCAGCACAGTGACATGGGACCACGATTGTGTTACCTGTTAATCTACTCACATCAACCCAGCACAGTGACATGGGACCACGATTGTGTTACCTGTTGATCTACTCACATCAACCCAGCACAGTGACATGGGACCACGATTGTGTTACCTGTTAATCTACTCACATCAACCCAGCACTGTGACATGGGACCACGATTGTGTTACCTGTTGATCTACTCACATCAACCCAGCACAGTGACATCGGACCACGATTGTGTTACCTGTTGATCTACTCACATTAACCCAGCACAGTGACATGGGACCACGATTGTGTTACCTGTTAATCTACTCACATCAACCCAGCACTGTGACATGGGACCACGATTGTGTTACCTGTTGATCTACTCACATCAACCCAGCACAGTGACATGGGACCACGATTGTGTTACCTGTTGATCTACTCACATCAACCCAGCACAGTGACATGGGACCACGATTGTGTTACCTGTTAATCTACTCACATCAATCCAGCATAGTGACATGGGACCACGATTGTGTTACCTGTTAATCTACTCACACCAACCCAGCACAGTGACATGGGACCACGATTGTGTTACCTGTTGATCTACTCACGTTAAAAAACACTGCCCCGACTGCGAAAACCGCATGCATGATAGGGTAGAAGTCGATGTTTTCTACCCCGACACAAACAACCACGTCGCCCTTCCGAACGCCATGTGCTAACAGGCCCTTGGAGAATGAGTTTGCCTTCAACAGAATATAAAATTGATTAAATATATTTCACGTAAAAAACTGATAATGCGGCGGGAACAAATCACAACACAGAAACTGTGTACAACTGAAATTGCAATATTTAGACATGACAGTTGGAAATATAAATACCACATATTATTTTTATACTTATCAATACTACCTTATTTTAAGATGACTTAAAAACCTACGCGTCCAAAAGATTTCATATAAACGTTACAGATCCACTTCGTTTATACCACCATTCCACAAAGAGGCGCTCTGTGGCGCTCTTACAAATCGCCATATAAAGCGCTAAGATCTCCAAAAGCGTTAATGGATCTCTAACTGATCTTTAACTGATCTCCATGATCGTCAAGGTCGCCGCCTGTCGACTTCCCTGCACAAAGATCCTTGACGCTCCGCCCAGAATGACGTCGGATCGCTACTCGATCGCCGAGATTGCCATTGGAGCGCTCTTCATCGCCAAGGTCGTAAT